AATCAATGAATATTTATGTATTCATACCTAATTTGGACGTTTGTAGATAATTGTAAATTATAATAATGAAATGAATGAGTGATTTAAAATTAATTAACCTCATTTTTCATAATGTTATTTATATCCTATATATTATAAATATCAAAATCAAATCTTTTTTATTACAATCAAATCTACGGAAATTATTTATTTTCAGAATGAATATCAAAGGAATTGATTATTTTGTCAATTAGTGACTATTCACTAAGTGTAATTTAAATTAATTTCCTCAATTATCTTCTAAATATATGCCATTAAATCTCTCTTTCCTTCATAACATTTTTCTTTTACTTTTTTATTCTCCGAAAATTAGTATAAAAACCCTCCATCCTAACACATTCAATCACATTCATACTCTACACCCCACTTTTTGGAATCACACGAAAACACTATAGTCAACACATTCTTTTTTAATATTTTTATTCAATTATGGAGATTTACGTTAATTTTTGTGTAATTAATATTTTAGTTTGTTCGATGCATATTGTTTTTTCTATATTATTTTTTTCTCAAAATGTTCCGTTATAAATACCAATATAATTATTTTATTTTGGTTATAATAGGAGGAACATGTTGATCAAATTTATCAACAAAATTAAATATTCCACATGCAATAGATGAGAGCGAGCGCACGACGCTTGCTATTAAATCTTCTTCTTTTGTTTTCTATTTTTTTTTTCTTACTCATTTAAGGGGACACTTTATTGATACACTTTGTTCTTATCCATTGCTAGAATTGTTTGTATTTTAGAATGCAGTGTTAGCATATGTTAATAAGGTAGAATACATTTGTAAATTGATATAAACATTTCAAAGGTATTTAATTTTAAGGTAGAATACATTTATAAATTGATATAATCAGTATTAGTATCAGTATCAGTATTAGTATAGGTATTAGTATCAATATCAGTATCATTATTATCATTACCAATATCAGTATCATTATCAGTATTAGTATCAGTATTAGTATGAGTAACAGTATGAGTATTAGTATGAGTATGAGTATGAGTATCAGTATTAGTATGAGTGTTAGTATGAGTGTCAGTATGCGTATCAGTATCAGTATTAATATTATATTAGTATTACTATTAATATGAATATTAATATTATTATAAGTATCAGTATCAGTATTAGTATCAATACGAGTATTATTATTAATATTAGCATTAGTATCAGTATGAATATGAGTATTAGTATTAGTATTAATATTAACATTAATATTAATATCAGTATGAGTATTAGTACAAGTATCAGTATTAGTATTAGTATCACTACCAGTATCAGTATTAATATTATTATCAGTATCAGTAGCTTTATTAGTACCAATATCAGTATTAGTATTAGTATCAGTAACAATATTAATATTAGTATTAATATTAGTATTTGTATTAGTATTAGTATTAGTATTAGTATTAGTATTAGTATTAGTATTAGTATTAGTATTAGTTAGGGGCGGCAATTTTGCAACTTGGACCGGATCCGATCCGGATCAATATGAATTGGATCCAAATGGAACTGGATCCTAAATCAACCTATATGAATGGATCTAATGTGGATCAAATTTAGACCGATCCGGATTGGATCCACATGGATCCATTCCATCTTTAATTCAACTTGTGAAGTTGAATATCTCAACTTTCACAATTACACATAATATTCACAGATTTTTCACACACACACATTTCAAACACACGCACACACTTTTTTACACACACACACTCACATACACATAGATATACATACAGATAGATATATATGTCTAACTGTATCTATATATATATATGTGCGTGTATATATATATATATATATATATATATATATATATATATATATATATATCCCTCTCTAGTTAGGGTTGAAAATGTTTGATCTTTTAAACTTACAATTAAAATAATATTTGATATTTTTTTAGAAAATTATTTTAGTATTTAATTTGGTTTTAGTTGGATCCAATATGACCCACTTTATTTTTAGTTCAACTTTGAATGGATGTAAAGTGGATCCAATATGACCCACTTCATTTTTAGTTGAACTTTCAATGCCTCTTAAGTGGATCCACGTGTATCTAGTTTTAAAAAATATTCAACTAGATCCGGTCCGGTTTGTTTCAAGTAGATTTAATCTAAACTAGATCCTTATGGACCGAACAGGATCTAATCGGATCCATGGAACCGGATCCAAATTGCCACCCCTAGTATTAGTATTGGTATTAGTATTGGTATTGGTATTGGTATTGGTATTGGTATTGGTATTGGTATTGGTATTGGTATTGGTATTGGTATTGGTATTGGTATTGGTATTGGTATTAGTATTAGTATTATTATTCGTATTAGTAATAGTAATAGTATTAATATTAGTATTCTGTTAGCATTAATATTAGCATTAGCATTAGCATATTATGATTAATATCAGTATGCATATTATTATTAGGGTTAGTTTTATGATTATAATTAGTATTAGTATTAGTATTATCATTATCATTAGAATTAGGATTAGGATTAGCAGTACCATTAGCATATTAGGATTGGTATTAAGAATAGCGTTATCATTAGCATATTTCGATTTTTATTAGGATAATAGATTAGGATCAATATTATTATTATTAGGATTATGATTTGAATTAGTATTAGGATTAAGATTAGTATTAGCATTATGATTATAATTATGATCCGGATTGTGATTAGGATTATAGTTATAATTAGAATGGGTATTAGGAGTATGATTAGGGTTAGGAGTAACATTAGCATTATGATTAGCATTAGTATATTAGCTTTGGTAATGGTAATAGTAATGGTAATAGTAATGGTAGTGGTAATGGTAATGGTAGTGGTAATGGTAATGGTAATGGTTATGATAATGGTAATGATAATGGTAATGGTAATGGTAATGGTATTGATAATGACATTAGTACTATTGGTATTGATATTCTTATTATTATTAGTATTAGTAGTAGTATTAGTATTATCATTAGCATTAGCATTAGTATTATGACTATGATTAGAATAATGATTAGTATTATGATTAACATTAGTATTACGAATAGGATTATGATTAGAATTTCAATTAGGAGTAGGATTAAGATTATTAGTAATGGTAATGGTAATAATAATTGTAATGGTATTGTAATGGTATTGTTATTGTTATTGATATTTCTATTGGTATTGGTATTAATATTGATATAACTGGTATTGACATCGGTATTAGTATTGGTATTGATATTGGTATTAACATTGGTATTGGTATTTGTGTTGATATTGGTATTGGTATTGATATTAGTATTAGTATTGATATTAGTATTAATATGTTTATTGGTATTGATAATGGTAATAGTAATGGCAATAATAATGGCAATTTTAACGGGAATGGTAAGGGATATGGTAACGGTAATGGTAATGTGATTGGTAATGATAATGGTAATGGTGTTGGTGTTGGTGTTGGTGTTGGTGTTGGTGATGGTGTTGGTTTTGGTTTTGGTTTTGGTATTGGTACTGGTATTAGTATTGATATTGGTAGTAGTATTGTTTTTGTTATTGGTATATTAATATTAGTATTAGTATTGACATTAGTATATTAAAGTTAGCATTATCATATGATATATGTAATAATATTATTAGTATTAGTATTAGTATGAGGATTATGGGTTATTTCTCTGCTACAGCCGATGAAGACTACATTGGGTGATTTTTTTACCTTGGATCCACACACCAATGTATGTGTTTGTATATTTGTGCGCATATGAATGGTAAATATCTACCTGGTGTATTTTATAGGGTGTACCATAAAATAAATTGAGAATTGTGATTAAGATTGATATTAATAAAACAGTACTGGGCTTGAAATTCCCGATGACATGCCGATTCATGATTCTTTCGATTCGTTTATCCAAATCTGGTGTGCAACCTGTTTAATTAAATAACCCATATGTAAGATTTTTATCAAGTAGGAATCTGGGGATTCGACCAACGTTACAAATAATGTGGTACACCTGGAAACTTTTCATCATATATTAAGGTAACTACGTAAAGTTGTATACATTATTAAATAACAACCTTTATTTTTTTATTAATTATATGTATGGTTATTCGTAATTTGTATTGTACTATGAACTTACTATCGATTCCACTCGAGATTTTTTATCAAGATATATTTAGTGTAAAATGATTTTATTTCATTAAACATTTATATTGTTGTTGTTTTGGTAATTGTTTGTTATTTCGTATGACCACTGTACAAAATATATAGGTTACTCACACTGTTTTAGATACATGCGTTAGGGTTGTTGTTATCAAACGCAATAACAATAATTGTTTGGATCAAATTAAGAATTTGAATTAATTGGTCGTTATGGTTGTACAGTTTTGGGACCAACGGTGTATTCACTCTTTGTATACGGTAAATAAACCTTTGATTTTTATCTTTTCCACTTATTTTGGCTTAATTGATCACTTATACTATACGAAATAGTTTTTTATTTAATAGTTTTCTACTGCTTTGTATTGATATCAACCATTCATTTTATTATTTGGAGAAATTTTTTCTTATCAAATATTTGTTAGAACTCAATGGAGCAAACTATTTATTAAAAAGTGTTCGATTATATCATGGATGTTGTTACAGATGACATAGGTGGACTGTTCTTTCTTTATAGGCATAAAGGAACACGAAAGACTTTCGTATGGAAAACTTTATCGGCTGCTATCCGTTCAAAAGGCGAAATAGTTATAAATGTTGCTTCCAGTGGTTTTGCTTCGCTTCTACTTCCAGGTGGCAGAACTGCTCATTCGAGATTTGGACTGCCAATAATTGTACATGACAACTCCACATGCAGCATCAAACAACAGAGCCCACAGGAAGAATTGTTGCCTAGAGCAAAGCTAATCATATGGGACGAGGCACCGATTATGCATAGGTACTGTTTCGAAGCAGTCGACAAAACAATGAAATCTATACTTGATTAAGATATGCCATTCGGAGGCAAGGTTGTAGTGCTTGGAGGGGACTTTCGGCAAATTCTACCAGTTGTGTTGAAAGCGTTGAGACAAGACATTGTTCATGATACAATCAATTCATCACCGTTGTTGATACAATGTAACGTTATGAAGTTGAACAAGAACATGAGACTTGAGTTGTCCTCCTCTTCCGCCAATGCAGATGAAATAAGAGAATTTGCGAAATGGATATTGAGAATCGGCAATGGCGATGGTGGCGTGGTAAATGACGGTGATGCCACATTTGAAATTCCCGATGACATGCTGATTCGGAATTCTTCAGATCCCTTTTTGGATCTAATAGAATTTGTCTATCCCGATCTGGTGACCAACCTTTTCACTACCGAGTATTTCGAAGGCAGAGCAATTCTTGCACCCACTAATGAAAGTGTCGGTTTTGTGAACGATCATTTTTTTGTCTATCATAACTGGAGAGGAGAAGGTCTATTTAAGCTCTGATAGTATGTGCAAGGAGGAGTTATTGTCGGATGTCAACGCAGATATATACTCACCTGAGTTTCTCCACACCATATCATACTCCGGAATTCCACCGCATAAGTTGACATTGGAAAGAGGTATTCCCGTTATGCTCATCAGAAATATTGATCAGGCCAGAGGATTGTGCAACGGAACAAGGCTTCAGATTGTTAATATGGGAAAACACATTTTCAACTGCAGGTTCCTATCCGGTAAACATATTGGTGATTTGGTGTTCATTCCTAGAATGACTTTGGTACCGTCCAACTCTACATTGCCTATTAAATTCCAGCAACGTCAGTTTCCGCTGATGGTATCATTCGCAATGACAATCAATAAAAGTCTAGGACAGACTCTTTCTCACGTGGGTCTGTATTTGCCGAGACCTGTTTTCAGTCACATGTAACTCTATGTTGCACTCTCGAGAATTAAGAGTCGAAGTGGCATATAGATTTTGTTTAACTCGGAATCGGGTGATAGGACCAATGTTACAAATAATGTTGTATACAAGAAAGTTTTTCAGCGTATATGAAGGTAATTCTATATGCAAAAAATTACAATATTCATTGACCACCTTTATATTCTATTATTTATATGTTTTGTTATTCCTTATTTGTAGGTTTATTTTAATTGTACTAGGAACTTTCTATGGACTCCGCCACTATATATCATGAAGATAATTTTATTACAATGATTTTATGCCATTAAACAGTGATATTGGTATTGTTTTGATAACAATTTACATATTTCGTGTCACCATTGTACAACATATGCAGGTCAGTTCTATTGGTATTGTTTTGGTAATTTTTGTACAATGATTTTATATCATTAAACAGTTGCATTGTATCGGATTTGTTGCATGGGTTTAGGACGGTTGGTATCAAACAATTCAAGTTTTCAACTTTCATGTGATTATGGTTGTACAAGTTTGGGACCTACTATATATTCGCTCTTTTGTACATGGAAATTAAAACCTTCGATGTTTAGTTTTTTCACTTATATCGACTTATTTCATTACTTACACCATACAAATTAGTTTTATTTTTAATATTTTCTATTTATTTCTTTTACTTATTAACAATTAATATTATTATTTCGAGAACTTTTTTAATTATTCAATATTTGTTTTACGATGAATACCCCGTGCATAGTATTAGCGTATATATTATATATATATTACGTATATTATTATTATTCCTATTTATTCTAGTTACCTTGTATAATAGGTTACCTTGTGTAGTTAGGATTAGGGTTTCCTACATAATAACTATATATATGATTAATATACGTGAGAGATAATTCATTCTCTCTTTTCTCCAAAACCTAATTCTCCTATATGGTATCAGACACTAGGTTAACCTAGCCGTCACCACATCTTCTTCTCTTCTTCTCTTCTTCTTCATAGCCGTTTCCCCCCTTCTTCTCCATGGCCGGCGAAGCTTCTTCTCCCTCCACCGTCCCTCTCAATACTTTTCACCTTGCTCATGCCATCTCTAATATTAAATCTCTCATCCCCGTTACCCTAGATCTAAAAAATCCTAATTATCAAAAGTGGAGCCACTTTTTCACAATTACCGTCGGTCGTTTCTGCCTCTCCGACCTTCTACATGGAAAACCCCGACCGGATTCGATTTCCGCCGACGAATGGCAACGCGCCGACTATCTCCTCCAATCTTGGATCTACGGCACCATCTCCGACGATCTGTCCAGCATGGTTCTCTCAAAAACCTCCACCGCTAGTGACCTATGGACCGCCATCTCTTCTCTCTTCACCGATAACAAAGATTATCGAGCCATTCAACTTGGAGAAAAATTCAAGTCCCTCAAGAAAGGCGCTCTCTCCATTCACGATTATTGCCAAAAAATCAAAACCACGGCGGACAACTTGGCCGATGTCGGAAATCCAATCTCCGACAAACAACTCGTCCTACAAACCCTACACGGCCTTCCGAAACATTACGGGACCGTCGCCAACCTAATCTCCTTTCAGAATCCCCTTCCCACTTTTCTACAGACTCGATCTCTTCTTTAGATGGAAGAAACAAGAATCGCTGAACCGGAGCAGACCGCTGCTGTTCTCTACGCCTCCAACGCGAACTGTCCATCCAACAGTTGCAACGGTTTCTGCAACAGTTCCCGCGGAGGTAGTTCTTCGCGTTATCAGCGCGGGGGTGGCCGATCCAACCGTCGCGGAGGTCGCAACACTAACCGTCACCCTATGCAGCACTACGACTACCATAGTGCCCATGGCGCATCTCAACTCTGGCGCGCACCTTACCGACATCCGTCTGGGATCCGCTCTAAATACATCGGGCCACTCATCCACTCCAGCGGCTCAAGTTTACACTGGCCACTCGGCTCCTACTCAGGTTCATCCGCAGCAACAACCATGCCACAGCACTAACAGTTTCATCAACAATTGCAACAGTTCCTGCAACAATGCCAACGTGGTGGATCTCGCAAACCGTTTGAATACGGTGACACTTCAGCAACCTACCGAGTCACAGTGGTTCATGGACAGCGGGGCGACCTCTCATATGGCACCGCACTCAGGTAATTTCAATTTTGTTTTTAATCCTGGCAGTCATTTCCCCAAACATGTCGTCGTCGGTAATGGTTCCACCCTCCCCATAACCCACATAGGCCACACAATTCTTCCCACCACTCCTTTCCACCTCACAAATGTCTATGTCACACCCAATATCGTCAAACACCTTATCTCTATTAGAAAGTTCACCCGCGACAACTCATGTTCGGTTGAATTTGACTCGTTTGGTTTTTCTGTGAAGGATCTTCGGAGTCGAGTCGAGATTTTTAGGTGCAATAGCTCCGGTGACCTATATCCATTTAAAATCCCTCCCCCCACCTTACCTCCCGCTGCTTTCCTCACTATCGCAACACCTTCATCTCGCACTCTTTGGCATCGGCGTCTAGGCCATCCCGGCAAACACGTCATGTCTCGTTTATTTTCTAACACTTTTCTTTCCCATAATAAAGACCCTGGGGAGTCTCTTTGTAATGCCTGTCAATTAGGCAAACATTTTCGTCTACCATTTTTTTCTCAAAAATCTACTACTGTTGCCCCATTTCAAATTATTCATGCTGATTTATGGACTTCTCCTGTTTTCAGTTTTACGGGTTTCAAATATTATCTTGTGTTAGTTGATGATTTTACCCATTATTTATGGACTTTTCCTCTTCGAAATAAATCCGATGTTTTTACAACCTTTGTAACTTTTCATACACTTCTCAAAACTCAATTCCAACATCCCCTGAAAGCCTTACAAAGTGATAATGGTCGTGAATTCAAAAATGCGGATTTTCAAAACTACTTCACTAAACACGGCATCCTAAATCGTTTTTCGTGTCCCCACACCTCCCCTCAAAACGGACACGCAGAACGAATGATCCGCACTATAACTAACATGATTCGATCCCTCATCTTTCAAGCTCATCTTCCTCCTACTTATTGGGTCGAAGCCCTTCATATGGCCACACACCTACTCAATATCTTACCTACCAAAACCACACAAAATCGAACTCCTCACGAAGCTCTTTACCTCATCAAACCTACATACTCTCATCTTCGAGTATTCGGCTGTCTCTGTTATCCCAACCTCACCGCCACCACAACACATAAACTCGCCCCCCGTTCTACTCCTTGTGTCTATCTCGGTCACCCTTCCTCTCACAAAGGTTATCGTTGCCTTGATAGATCCACTGGCCGAATCATAATTTCTCGTCATGTTACCTTCGACGAAACTAACTTTCCTTTTGCAGAGTCTACTCCCCCCAAAAACACACTTTCTCCTTCTGCCTTGGACGAACACACACCCTCCCTGTTCCTCCTCCCCCAGGCTTCGTCTAACTGTTGCAACAGTTCATCCAACTGTTTCAACAGTGAACCACCCTCTTCCAACAGTTCGTCCAACAGTCCTATAACACAGCCAACACCTGTTTCTCCTGCAGCACCACCTCTCGACCACGGCCAGCTCACAACCCCTTCTACTACTTCCACATCTCCTTCCCCTACTCCCACACCTCCCCCACCTCCCCCTTCTCACCCTATGGTGACTCGCAGTAAAGTGGGCATCCACAAACCCAAAGTCCCTTTCTCTCTCGTTGCGTGCTCTACCTCTTCCATTCCCACCAACTATCGCCAAGCTCTTCTTGACCAAAACTGGCGAAACGCCATGATTGAGGAATATACTGCTTTAATTAAAAACAATACTTGGAATGTTGTGCCCCGCCCCCCGTTCACTAATGTTATTTCTGGTAAGTGGATATACAAACAGAAACTCAAGTCTGATGGCTCTCTTGAGCGATACAAAGCACGGTGGGTTGTTCGTGGGTTTCACCAGCAGGCTGGCATCGACTTTGACGAGACTTTTAGCCCAGTTGTCAAACCAGCCACTGTTCGAACAGTTCTCAGTATTGCTCTCTCACGATCATGGCCAATCCACCAGCTTGATGTGAAAAATGCCTTCTTACATGGCGATCTCTCTGAAACTGTCTACTGCGAGCAACCTCGCCCCACCCACGTGTGTCGTCTCAACAAAGCACTTTACGGTCTCAAGCAGGCACCACGTGCTTGGTACAAGCGTTTTGCATCTCACATTACTACCATGGGGTTCAGAGAATGCAAGTTCGACACTTCACTATTTGTGTAGTGTCGCAACAGTTCACGCGACTGTCGCAACAATTCATGCGCCTACCTTCTGCTGTATGTCGATGACATTGTACTTACGGCCTCCACACCTGAATTGCTTCGCTCTATCATCTCTGCCCTTAATCAAGAGTTCGCAATGAAGGATCTTGGCGATCTTCACTACTTTCTCGGCATCTCAGTTACTCGCTCGTCGAATGGGCTATTTCTCTCTCAACGCAAGTACGCCGACGAGATACTAGAGCGTGCACACATGGCTTCCTGCAACCCTTGTCTTACGCCGGCTGACACAAAGAGCAAGTTGTCTTCGACCACTGGACCCCCCGTTGCTGACCCTACTCTTTATCGCAGCCTTGCCGGTGCACTGCAATACCTCACGTTTACTCGTCCCGACATCTGCTATGTTGTGCAACAAATATGTCTATTCATGCATGATCCGAGGGAACCTCATATGGCTGCTCTCAAGCATATCCTTCGCTACATTCGTGGCACTCTCGATCACGGCCTTCAGCTCTCCCCCAATCCGGACCTCTCCCTTATCGCTTACTCCGACGCCGATTGGGGTGGCTGCCCTGACACTCGTCGTTCGACATCGGGCTATTGTGTTTTCCTCGGCAACAACCTCATCTCTTGGTCCTCCAAACGACAGGTCACTACTTCTCGATCGAGTGCGAGGCCGAATATCGAGCTGTCGCAAATGCCGTCGCCGAAACGACTTGGTTACGCAACCTACTTTCTGAGTTGCTCTGCCCACTTTCGAAAGCCACTATTGTCTACTGTGATAACGTCAGTGCCGTCTACCTATCCAACAATCCTATTCAACACTCTCGTACGAAACATGTGGAGATCGATATCCACTTTGTCCGGGACAAAGTTGCTTTGGGACACGTTCGAGTTCTTCACGTCCCATCCGCCTACCAGTTTGCCGATATCTTCACGAAAGGACTCCCTACTCAACTGTTCC